TAAAATTTGTCTCCTCTTTGCGTGTCTGAGGATCGTGATCAAACAAGATGAGAAGAAAAGATTATTGAAGAAATATTAGCATGGAAAGGATTATAAAGGGACACAAAAGCGATATACAATGCAAATTTCATATGCGTGTTTTCTATTCAAATATTTGCATACCGGGGAGAACAGGTTGCTATTTCCGGCCAAAACAAGAGCTGCTTGTAAGCTGAAAGATGGTACATGGATGAGCTTCGTTCCAAATGCAACTGAATCTGAACAAGGCTGCAATCAAATGGAAATTATGTCAGATCTGTCAGACTTCTGTTCGGGTCGAATTTCGATATTTCTGTTTCCTGGGTTTGATCAAGGGCTTTAGTTGTCCTGACAGAAATGGGTTGGAAAAAACAGAACAAGGGGAAACGAATAGACATACACACATACCCACACACACATATATATGTGCATATAAAGCACACACACACACACACACACACACACACACACACACACACACAACAACACACACACAACACACACACACACATACACACACACAACACACACACACACACACACACACACACACACACACACAACACACATCACATATATATATATATTATATTATATATTATATATATATATATATATATATATATATATATGTATATATATATATATATGTGTGTGTGTGTGTGCTGTGTGTGTGTGTGTGTGTGTGTGTGTGTGTGTGTGTGTGTGTGTGTGTGTGTGAAAATGAAACTGGCCACAATGAGATTTGAAAATAATCGTAACGTTTTCGAACTCTTCATGAATTCCTTTTCAACAAAACCGAAATTTCGATTTTGTCTGAGAGGAACTCATGAAGAGTTCGAAACGTTACGACTTATTAATTCTCATTGTGGCTAGTTTCATTTTCATTTTTTGTACACGTTGTGTTTGCTGCTGTGTTGCACACACACCTCATTATCTTATTATACTATATATATATATATATATATATATATATATGAGAGAGAGAAGAGAGAGACGAGAGAGAGAGGAGAGAGAGGAGAGAGAGAGATTCATGAGAGAGAGAGAGCGAGAGCGAGAGAGAGAGAGAGAGAGAGAGAGAGATACATACACGCACACACACACACACACACACAAACACACATACATATATATATATATATATTATATATTATATATTATATATATATATATATATGTATATATATTTAAATATATATATATATATATATATATATATATATATATATATATATAGAGAGAGAGAGAGAGAGAGAGAGAGAGAGAGAGAGAGAGAAACTGATTGCTTATTAATGGTCTGTTGCTTTAAATACAGATCACAGGTGTTGCAAGGTAATTGGATATGAAAAAATCAAAATCTTTAATCTGCTTCTCGAACATGTCGGCGTATTAAACCAAATCACATTGATATTCCTAACATTAACTTTAATTAAGACATAAAGTTGTATGAAGAAAAGACAAGACTTTCTGTGACAATTGCAGGCTTCAAAAGCATTCAAATGTGATAGTATCAAGGGAAGACAACACATTCTGTGACACTTACGAAATTGAGTGAAAATGGATTCCGATTGAAATGCGTCAACCCGGTTCGTCCTAAGCCTCTTTTGTTTACTTTGTTTTAGTCATCTTATTTCTATCTGCGCAAGAGCCACGCCCCTGTTCCATTGCAAAAGGCTGATTAGTTATTATACAATGTCTGTATCATGGCCATAAAATAATATTGAAAATTAGAAGACATAAAAAATACAATAATTTATGTTATCAGAAATCTAGAGATGTTAAAGAATGCTATAAATAGATCGATTTTTTACTGAAGGCAAAGTGGAAATCGCTCCGGAATGGACCCATATGTATCTCTTTTTTTGTTGATACCAAATATAATAATAATAAGAAATTTATTTTTTTTTTTTTTTGTTGATACCAAATATAATAATAATAAGAAATTATTCTACACTAACCGATAAAAACAGACCTATGCAGAAGGGAACAGCCACACTGACGGACTGAAAACCTGGTAATGGCAACTCACCCTGACTAGATTCTTATGCTGCCGATAATATCATCATCCAATGTTTAACCAATATAGGAAAAATGTTGGCTTATGTTAGTGAGATAATTGACATTGCTTCCCACCGCTTTTCCTGATCCTTGCTCCTCCCTTCTGCCTTCCTTCAGTCCATGGTTCTATTTATTATATAATGAAAGTTTATTCACACAACTTATGCCACAAAACATCCATATGATTACCATAAAGCGTATGCTAATCCTGAACCCAAAACATGAACTCCACGACGGTGCCAGAACGGATATGAGAGCGAGGAAGAGGAGAGAACCTTTAACACTTGTTCGCTGTTCCCGGAGCGGCCAGACTGCTTGGGAGCTGGGAGGTAGGGACATGCTGAGTCATTAGCTGTCATGTTACTGCTATCATTATTAAGGTCATTATCGTTATTATTATTGTCTTATTTTTGTTTCTATTATTATTATCATTGTTGTTGCTCCTGTTTTTTATTGGTAGAAGTAGTGCGATTACTGTTGTTTTATGATCATTATCTTTATCATTAGTAGTAGTCAGTAGTAGTAGTAATAGTACTATTATTAGTATTACTATTATCTATAATTATTTATATTTCATTAGTATTGTTGTTAACATTATTGTTGATATCATTATTATAATCATTGATATCATTGTTATAGTTATTGTTATTATTATCTATTGATTTTGTCTTATATATTATTGTTATATATTTATTTATTATTTTATATAAATTTAAAAAATTTTAAGATCTTTACTTTATTTTATTTTGTTTATAATTTAAATTATTATTAATTATTATTATTATTATTATTATTATTATTATTTATTATCATTGTTATTTTTATCATTATTACCACTATCATTTTTATTTTTATTATTATCGTTGTTGTTGCTGTTACCATTATCACTTTTGGTATTATTACCATTGTTATTATGATTTTCGTTATAGTATTACATTATTATTATTAGTAGTAGTGTAGTAGTACCAATTATTTTTAATTATCATAATTATTAATTAGTTTGCTATCGTTCCAGTGTGTTTAATCTATTATCCTTACTATAGTCATTATCAGTATCTTATTATCCTCTTCATCATCATCATTATATTATCTATGATTATTATTCATTATTATGATTATCATCATTATCATATTATTATCATTGTTATTATTATCATTATCTCTATTATGATTATCGTTCTCATTATTATTATTGGGTATAATTACTATTCTAATTATTATTTACATATTATTAACGTCGTCGGTTGTTGTTTTATTCTATTATTAATTCATTATCTAATTATTATTGTTTTCATTATTCGTTTTTTTATTTATATTTTTATTTATATATATCATTATCATTATTATTATTATTATCTTATTATTATTATTATCATTATATATTGTTATTTCTTTATTATTTATTATTTATTTTTATTATTATTATTATTATATGGATTAATTATTATTATTATTATTATTATTTATGTTAATGATACTATTTTTGTTGTTATTATTTATTTTCATTATTATTATTATTATCTTATATATTATATATGTTATCATTTCTATTTATTTTATTATTGTATCATTATCATTATTATGTAGTTATGTTATTATTATTATTATTATATCATAATTATAATTAAACATTATTATTCGTATGATTTTTATTATTATTATTTCATTAAAACCAACATTATATTATTCACATCATTATCATTACCATTGTTACCATTATTGTTATTATTGTTATCATTACTATTACTATTGTTGTTGTTCTTGTTATTGATATAATCATTATTATCATCTATTAATTATTGTTATTATTATTTATTATTATTATTATTATTATTTTATTATTACATTTTTCACATTTTTTATTATCATTCACCCATTATTATTTTTTCTACTTGTTGTTGTTATACTATGATTCTACTATTATTATTCATTATTTCTCAACATTATTATTACTACTTATAAATTATCTCATCATTATTATTACATATTGCATCCATGCATTATTGTTTTTCAATATATGTCATTATTGTTATTATTACTTTGTTAATGAACTCTCATCAATTTATGTTCATTATTGTTACTGTTATTTATACGCTCTGCATTAGATATTTCAATGGTGTTACTCGTTCCTCTCATCATATAATACATTGACTTAGTCTTCTCCTCTTGGTATGTTCATTACGTATTATTGTATACACTCCTCGAATACATCATCCTCTCTCTCTGTGAACTGAGTTGATGTTTGTTATTCNAAAGAAGGAAGAGAGAAGGGAAAAGGGGATAAATGAAAGGAGAAAAATATGAACAAGGAGAGAGATAAAAGAGCCAATTGAAGAGGCGAAAATAAAAGACACAAAATGGCAAAGAGGAATAATGGATTGACATGTACCGACTAGGAGTGCTTTTTTTGACTACCCAGAGATACCTTGATCTTCAATAACGTCCCTTTAAGTTCCTTACCTCTTCAAACTTCCTAATTAATTAATTGCGGCAAGTTAGTATTTTCTCAATCTATTCGAACCACGAGAGGGGACATGAGCTGCCTCCTTCTTTCTCCCTCAACACATTTCTCTCTCTCATTCTTGTTCTTTCTCTCTCTCTCAAATAGACTCACACACAATATAAGTTCTATGGAACTGTTGTATACTGTTGTATTTAGGTGCTATTAATCTGTGAATAAAGTATGTTTGATATTAGTTTAGAGTCCTCAAGAAAGAAATTCACAATACATGCCTCACATCCAAACAAGTTATTTGGGTGAAATTATAATAAATGTATACAAACTCATTCATATTTTAATGTGATCAAAGTACACTTTACAAAAATATTTAGTTGTAATCATTTATAGAAATTCTTCAAACACATCACGCAAAAAATATGTACAGAGCTCATCATTCACTAATGTTATTATCATAATTTTTTTCTTTTCTTTTCTTTTTCTTATTCTTTTTACTGCCTGGGTTTGAGACACTTGTCCCAGTCAGGGTAGAACCTCTCTTTCATGCGTTGACAGTAATCATAAAGGTTCTTGAAGTCAGCTGAAATGTTCAAAATGAAACAGGTCAGTTACATGTTTTGGTTTTGGAGAATACTTTGTAATAGCAAATGGTTCATCTTACAATTTATGTTTCAATTTTTGCCTTATGTGTCTTTACAAGTTCTTTAGGTGAATGTTTAGTTTCCTATTTTTCATTTTTGTATCAAGTTGAATTTTCACTATTCAAGGAGAGAAATTTTCATTATTCAAGGAGAGAGAGAGAGAGAAAAAAAAAAGTTTACTACAATAAAAAAGAGAAAACTAAATAAATCTGACTTACTTTCCAGCATCTTTAGGTAAGAAGAGTTCTGGGAGCACCACATAATCTGTGCTAACATTCCGAAGGCTGAGCAGTCCACCTCTGTTGGTTTGTCTCCCATCAAGAAAGGCTTTTGTCCTGTGAAAGTGAAAAAATGGAAAATGCAGAAACTAGAAAGACACGGGTATGCTGCAGCATATTTAGTATTCACTGTCAAAGTATCTCTTATTTTGTATTATTTTTTTTTAAAGAGATACCAGCAGTGGATTTACAGGATAATCTGTATTTTAAAAAATATCTAGGAGTAAAGAAAAATAACTGGACTATTATTGGCTATCAAAAAAAGACAGCATGGCATTGTCTCTTAGGGAGTTATTCACACAGGCATTAGGATACTGGACCTATACATGTTAATATGATAAACAGTATGAGGAGGTTTTACAAACATTATGACATTGGATCTACATAAGTTATCACAATAAACATTGTAACACTAGGTCCTCAGGAGTTATTAGGACAAATATTATAACACAAAATGTACATGGCTACTGAAAGTAATATGAACTTTATCCTTTGGAAGTTATAAATAGATGATGCACCAATTATCAATAAGAACAGTAAGACAGTGGGCCTTCATGAATTATATAGGCAAACATTGTTATAACTGTTATAATAATCAACAGTGTGATGTAGGACCTTTCCCAGTAAAAAAAATGCAATAGAACACTAAACCTGGATCCTGGATCAGGAAGTCATATGCCAACCCTACCCACCGAGCCAAGTTGAAAGAGATTGTAGACACTTTCTACCCATTCCCTCTACTTCCTCGAAGCTATGACGTCCAATACCCTGAAGACGGGTTGCTTCAGTGACTTTCTTGACGAACATGGAAATCAAAAAGTGACTACCCATTGGAAGGTACATGTTGTTGGTCAATGGACGACCACGCTCTTGAACATAACGCCATACAATAAGACACCTGAAAAGAGTTCACAGCAAATAAATTTCAACACTGACTCTCACCAAGGGACATATAAGACAGGTAGCACCACTTGCATTTAGCATAATAAACCCAAAAACAGAGTATTCTAGCTAATATTTATGGTATGGAACACTTCATTACTATTAATAAAATAATGGAAATCTTATTTTACTTCCAATAATAATAACATTGGGTAAATAACACAAACAATTGTGCATCTAGCTATTTCTGATATCTCACAGTCCACCCTCATTAGCTAAACACAATGACAATATGACATATCTAGCTCCCCACCTTTCATTCCCGTAAAATTTATAAGAAAATCTTATGGAAAGTGTTTCTATATTTCTTTCCATTCGGTTCAGTAATAACAATGGTAAAACAAGTAAAAAAAGACACATAGAAGAAAAAGAATGCAGAAAAAACTAACATTTGCAATAAATGAAGACAGAAGTGAGATTTAATTCAGCAGTTGACAATTACAATTTTCAATGAGACTGAGTGGTGTTTCCTGTCTTCATGTAATTTTAACTTACACTATACATTAATTACTCTTAACAACAATTTTCAGCAAGGACCACTTGCATGTTTTAGCTCCTAAATCACAAATTTGAACATTTCATATACAACATTGCAGATAAATCAACACAGAGTAAATATGGAAAAAAAGAGAAAGAGATTGGAGAAGTAAGAAAGAGAGAGAGAGAGAGAGAGAGAGAGAGAGAGAGAGAGAGAGAGAGAGAGAGAGAGAGAGAGAGAAGAGAGAGAGAGAAGGAGAGAGAGGAGAGAGAGAGAGAGGAGAAAGAGGGAGAGAGAGAGAGAGAGAGAGAGAGAGAGATTTGGAGAAAAGAAAAAAAAGAGAGGGAGAGGGAGAGGTGAGAGAGGGAGAGGAGGGAAGGAGAGAGAGAGAGAGAGATTTGGGAGAAAGAAAAAAATGGAGAGGAGAGTGGAACGAGAGAGGAGAGATTTTGAAGAAAAGAAAAAATGAGAGAGAGAGAGAGAGAGAGAGAGAGAAGAGAGAGAGAGGAGAGAGAGAGAGAGAGAGAGAGAGAGAGAGAGAGAGAGAGAGAGAGAGAGAGAGAGAGAGAGAGAGAGGAGAGGAGAGAGAGGAAGAGAGAGAGAGAGAGAAAAGAGAGAAGAGAGAGAAGGAGAGAGAAGAGAGAGAAAGAAGAGAGAGAGAGAGAGAGAGAGAGAGAGAGAGAGAGAGAGAGAGAGAGAGAGAGAGAGAGAGAGAGAGAGAGAGAGAGAGAGAGAGAAGAGAGAGAGAGAGAGAGAGAGAGAAAACACACACACACACACACACACAGACACACACACACACAACACACACACACACACACACACACACACACACACACAACACACACACACACCACACACACACACACACACACACACACACACACACACACACACACACACACACATGCACACACACACACGAGAAAAAAAAAACAACAAAGCATACCACAGAAAATATTCATCAATCATTATCTGCAACGAGTGGGCCACAACTTTCTCCTGGGCTGTCAGGTCGGAGCTCAAATCTTTGTTATACTTTGGGCCCAAATGCTCCATTATCAGCTGGGAGTCTGCCATATCTTCGCCATTCAGAGTTATCCACGGAGATTTTCCCTTGGCACCCATGGGCTCCTCGTGGTCAATCTGGAAATATTTTTGTTTTCAGTGGGTATAAAATCTGGATGTAATTTTATTTTATTACTTATCAGACTGGACCTAAAAGCCTAATCAGTTTGAATTATTCCACCAGATGTTCCCATGGCACCGATTAATCTGGGAATATTCTCACAGGAAGGGTATTAGACCTGGATATTGATATCTATCAAAATGAATCTAATAATAGGATAAGTTTATATTTATCAAAGGAGATTTTGGTACATTGTGGTAAATCTGGGAATATTCACACGCCCAAGGGTATTAAATCTGGTCCTAAATTGGTTTGGATATTCATCAGACTGGACCTAATGACGTGATCAGTTTGAATTCATCCAGGGAGAGTTTCCCTCGTGGCCAATCTGGAAATATTCCCATGCACAGGAAATGAAATCTGGACGTGAAGTAGTCTGGATATATATCAGACTGGATCTAGTAATATAATTTGAATACATTTATGTGATTTATGTTATTGTATTCAATCTAAAACAACATATTTTACAGTAAAATGCAAAGACACTGTCTGAAAAGCTGTGCAAATAATCCATGAGTAAATATGAACATTATCAGGCTGTAAATATTAAGATAACTAACACAGAAAATAAGTAAAATTAACATAAGCAATGCAACATGCCCCCCAAAAAATATATAATCCGTTTAAGAGTATACAGTTCCTAACTCCATCCACACTGCTGCCTACATGATAATACTAAGAAATAACCCCATTTCCAAAAAAAAAAAAAAAAAAAGCAAAAAACAAAACAAATCCAATCTTCAATTTCATTCTTTACCTGGTAAGGAATATCCACCATCCTGAGGTATGTCTCTAGTTTAATTACAAAAGGTGAAAGACTTGGGCAGGTGTATCCACGATCAAATATGTGGAGAACAACGACATCTTTGCCTGCTTCATTCCATTTCCTCCTGAGAAAGAAATCAAGAATGAAAATGTGAAGCTTAAATACAATACATTATGCTTTAAATATGCAAAAGCAATTGGAAAATAGTCTAAATCTAATAGGAATGTTCAATGAATGTAAATTGTTATTGAAGCATTGGTGTTTCTTTTCCTACAAATAATTTCCTTTCAACACTCACACACACACACACCACACACACACACACACATATATTATATATATATATATATATAATATATATATATATATATATATATATATACATATATATGAATAAATGAATAAATAAATAAATATACATACATACATACATTACACATATACATACATACATACATACATACATACATACATACATACATACATACATACATACATACATACATACATATATATATATATATATATATATATATATTATATATATATAATATATATATATATATATATATATATATGTACATACATCTATATGTGTACATATATATGCATGCAAGCACATGCACAACACAAACAAACAAACACAAACACACATACAAACACACACACACACACACAACAAACAACACAACACACAATACACATACACATACACATACATATACATATATATATATATATATATATATATATATATATATATATATATATATATATATATATATATATATATATATTTATATATATATATATATATATATATATATTATATATATATATATATATATATATATAATATATATATATATATAAATATATATATATATATATATATATATATATATATATATATATATATATTATATATATAGGCCTATATTCGAAAGAGTAAACAGTAAACTGAATAGATACCTTTAACGCTCTGCTTCATGTAAAACCCATATTTTATGCAAAGTAACAATTCCAACGACTTTTCCCACTCTGCCTCACAGCCCCATAACTCACAAAACCCATTCCCCCTCATAAAAACAGGAATACACTTTCTCACCTCCTCTCCTGCTTCTTCATGTGCTGCCTGATCTTCACCACACCCACCACCGCCACCACAGCTATGGTGATGGGCTTGTTCTTGCGCCATAACCAGCGGAGTGCCTTCCCCGCGACCTGCACGGGCGCCCAACCTCCGGGAGCAAATAGTGCCATTCTGGAAGGGATTAAGAGGGTTTAATCCAGGGAATGGCGTCGAGATTGGAGCCTTTTGAGGGTATGTGATGAGGATAACGATGATGGTAATAATAATGATGACAATGGTATTAATGATGAGGATACTAATACTGATAAATCATAAACATGATAATGATATTGATAATCATAAACATGATAATGATATTGATAAACATAAACATGATAATGATATTGATAATCATAAACATGAAAATGATACTGATAAACATAAACATGATAATATTGCTCATTACAAACATGATAAATACTGCTAAACATAATAATGATAATTCCAAACATGATAATGATATTGATAAACATAAACATTATAATGATACTGATAATCATAAACATGAAAATTATATTGATAAACATAAACATGATAATATTGCTAATTACAAACATGACAATAACATTGATAATTATAAACATGAAGTCAAAGCCCTCGGTCGAAGCTGGCTCCCTAACTGAGAGAGTCTCGAACTCTCGAACACTAGATCGGGACGGAATATTAGCCACTGAACCATCGTGTACACTTCCTGATCATTGGGTGATAATTTAAAGTGAAGAATACACAATACTGCAAGCGGGAGAGTGTATACGTGTATATATGTGTATATATGTAAATACATGTGTATGTGTATGTGCATATATAAATAAGTATTTGCATATGTATATGCATATATGTATACGCATATGCATATGCATACATGTATCGCATATGTATAAATGTATATGCATATAAACATATAAATATATGTACATATATGTATGTGTATATATATATATATATATATATTATATACATATATATATGTATATATATATATGTACACACACACACACACCACACACACACACACACCACACACACACACACACACCACACATATTCATGTGTGTGTGTTTCTCGTAGACCTCCTCCAGCATTTGTCTCGTGCAAGTAAAACAGCTGAGGAGGGTTGAGGATGAGGAGCGCGGAAGAGAGGCAAGAAGACGGGGGGGGGGGGGGGGGCGGTGGGTATGGTGTTGGGTATTTCCACTGCTCTCACTTTTACTACTACTAACTACTTCTTAGTAGTAGAGAGTATAGTAGTTAGTGTTAGAAGTATAGTATGTAGTAATAGCAACAGTAACAATAGTAGTAGTAGTAGTAGATAGTTGTAGTAGCTGAAGTCAATGGTGTAGTAGTTGTAGTACGTAGTAGTTGTATATATAGTAATAGTGTAGTTAGTAGTAGAAGCAGCTACTCTGCTACTACGGTAGTAGTAGTAGAGCAACAGTAACAATGGTAGTAGTAGTAGTAGTAGTAGTAGTAGTAGTAGTAGTAAGAAGTGTATGTAGAAATAGATGGTTGTCAGTTTGTGAATAAGTTAGTAGTTGTAAGTAACCAGTAGTAGAGTAATAGTCAGTAGTAGTATAGTAGCAGTAGCAATAGCAGCATCCAACAATACAGCACAACATAGAGCAGCAGCAGCAGCAGTAGTAGCAGTAGTATAGTAGTAGTAGTAGCAATTGTAGTAGTAGTATCATTATTATCATTAATATTAACAAATATTTTTCTGATTTTTCGCCTTAAAAATGGGAACTGCTCTTCACTGCTCTTTTTCAAACTGTGCTCATTCATTGGTTCTAAACTTAATGTGCACTTAGAGAGAGAGAGAGAGAGAGAGAGAAAGACGAGAGAGGAGAGGAGAGAGAGAGAGAGAGGAGAGAGAGTGAGAGAAGAGAGAGAGAGGAGAAGAAAGAGAGAGGAGAGAGGACCGACCGGGAGAGAGAGAAAGACCGCGAGCGAGCGCGCGAGAGAGAGAGGAGAGAGAGAGAGGAAGAGAGGAGAGAGAGAGAGAGAGAGGAGGAGAACCGCGAGATATAGAGAGAGAGAGAGTTTTTCCCTAACTCACACTACGTCTGGCAGTGCACTTAGCAGCCAATCAGCAGTTAAGATAAGAGAAAGAAGAGAAAGGGAGAGAGGGGGGAGAGAGGAGAGTGATTATAGAGTGAGAGTGAAAGCAGTTCCGTCGAGATAGCAGCGTAGAAGGGGGTTTAAAGTTAAAGATTTGTCGACAAATGGGCGTGGTTACTGAGTGTGATCATTTAAAATCAGTCGCATCCTAAAATTGTGTATATTCATTCGTCGCGCTTCTCAAAGAGAGAAAAGATAGAATTAGATTAGAGATGAGAGAGAGAATGAGAGAGAGAGAGAGAGAGAANGAGGGAGGAGAGTGGATAAAGATGAGAGTGAAAGCAGTTCCGTCGAGATATGCACAGCGGTGAAGGGGGTTTAAAGTTAAAGATTTTGTCGACAAATGGGCGGTGGTTACCTGTAAGTGTGATAATTTAAAAGCATCCCATCCTAAAAATTGTGTATAGATTCGTGGTCGTCGCGGA